TACTACATATACTACATATTGCACCATATTGCACCCGATACAATAGCCTGGATGTTGCCTCCCTTGTTCCCTCATCCACCTTCTAGGCCTTTGCCATGTTGGACCCTTAACTGCGAAGCTCCTGTGACGTTTGTCGCGATCAAGGTCCAATTTTCGTTGGATATTCGATGCGTACATTTTGTTTGAAAGGTTGCCCTGGCTGCTGGCTGTGCCATGCTGTGCCTATGACATCCTATTCCTCAGCTTCCAGCCTGGCTGATAGTCTTGGAGAGCAGAAAGTCCGTTGGGCAAACATCTGGCAACGGCTTGTCGCCGATGGACAGGAATGCTGGATTTAGATGCTAAGTCCATGATACGAGTATCAATGATAAACATTGATAAAAAAATGATAAGTGATGATAAGTGATCCCATCTGCACATTGTTGTGGCAACTTCTGGAAACATTCTCCTCAACAACTTGGACTTGGCCATTGGCATTCCTGAAAGGACCACCCTGACGGACAAACCAGCACAACTGAGTGGCCAACGGAGAGCCACGACAGGCAGGGAAGTGCCACCTCATTGCGTGGTTATGGCGGAGTAGAAACTGAAACTTCCTAGAACGGCAAAATGAATTGAGTGGACCGTGCGGCTTATAGATAAAGTACTTGCATGATCCCGCTGGCGGTGTCATTACAATCAGTTGCTACTGAAGTGGTTCCACAAGTTGGGAACCTCTGCGAATACATCAATAGTACGAGCATATTGATTGGCGAAGGGTATGCCCGGTATGCCACTGCTCCTTCAGACCCTACTATCAAGAGCTGCTCTGTATAAAGCGCACCATGGTCGTCACCACCACCACCACAACCACCACCACCACCACCACCGCCACCACCACCACCACCATCATCATCATCATCATCAGCAACAACATCATCATAAGCAGCATCAAAATTGTCCCCACCCTCTTCATTCTATTCATGACCATTGCAATCATCAAGGGGCTATAGAATCAGGCATGGTTGCACAGAAATTATCTTCACAACTCAAAACCCTGTTCTGGGAGTGGCACGATGGCCAAAGGCCATAACCGGCGGGGTGCCCCTGGAGCATACTCAGGGATCCGTCTACAGCATGGATCAAAGCATATGTGTGAAATATCATAAGATGGAAGGCTTTCAGTGATCACTACCTGCAGAGAAAAGAACAACTGTATTCAAGTCACCCATGTTCTTTACCGGCCTGCTCTGCGAGATGTGGATGATGCCATGCTTCAAAACCCCAACGGCCGGACGAGCGGGTGTCTGGTGCAATCACATTGATGCTAAACATCAATGATAGGATGTTTCCATATGTGTGGATATGTGTGGTTCTTCTACGTTCTGCTGCTTTACCTGTTTTGAGGATCTCCATTTAGGACGCCGCTATTGTCTATTGAAACTGCGCCCGCGGAAAGGTGTCTTATCACAAGGCTTACCCAGTAGCAGCTTAGGTCATGTGACCTGCCAACCAGCGCGTTGGGTAAGAGCCCGAAAAAAGACACACACACACTCACCTAACATGATCTCGCTTCGCACATGCAGGAGACTTCAAACTAGTTTCAACTTGTTCTTTGCCTGATTACTCTGATTACTCTGGTCACAGGAATAAGCTGGTCCATTCCTTGAAAGCAGCAAGTCCTTTGGTGCGTTGTCAATAACCTGGCTAGAATGACTACAAAAGGGCTGAGTGTTAGAGTTGTGCAAAGAATTGAGACTTGTATCACACAAAGCGGCAAGTGGACTACATACCACGCACCCAATATGCATCCACTTACTACGTACAATCTCTGTTCTGCCCAAACAAATCCAAAACACAGATCGTGGCAGATGCATGCTGATGGCAAAACATCAAAGCCCTTTGCAACACTAAAGCCACACAAGTGCAGGTGGAGGCTGCACATTGACATCTTTTCACACGCTGAGAATCATGGATGATCATGGATGTATGCGGAGGTGACGGAAAGTGGACCTGGACAAGGAAGCGGCCATTTAGATGAAGGGTGTCGTTGTGCTGGATGCACCAGCAGGGGTTTTGACTGTTGGTGGACGTAGTCAACAAAGTGACATGGATAGGCATCCGCAGAAAACACGCACACACATACATCGCCACCGCAAATCTACCTACCTGATCCTACCTGTATGTCTGTTTATACATTCACAGGTCACAGCTACCACAAAAAAACACGAGAATACCAGAATCTTTGCGGCAGGTCGGAGGGAATTAAAGGGTTGGTTTTGACATGTTTTGAATGGGAAGTAAGTAGACAAAATATGACAAAATGCAGCTCGCCTTTGATCTTCAGCGCTCCCAAATGGATAATTTGTTTTTCGTCCGGTCTTCCCACACCTGTCATGCACGTGAAATGTTGCTGTGGTCCCCTTGTGGTGTGGAAGTGCTCCAGGATAGATGAACTCTTCAAGCATCTTAAAGCCAATCCTGCACCCCCAAAACTTGAACACCAATGAACCCCACCATTACCCCACCCCTGTCATCCTCTGTCACTCTCAACTGGATTCAACTGGCTGATCTTCAAGCCAGTGCTAAGGTTATGTGAGCATGACATTGGCCTGTCGGAGCCTGCCTCATGTCGCCTGGACAGCCAGAACCTCTATAACCTCTCAGAACACAACACGCCGGCGTGTCTATCTTGAAGGGGCTGCTCTTCTCCACCTGTCACGGCAACGTCCCAACACGTACCATCTTTCAATTCTAAGACTTTGTTTGTTGATCTTTCTTCACCCACCACTCGGGCAAACACTGGACCAAAAAACTGCATTGATCAAACTCTTGACATCTGTTTCCTGTTTCCTACGTTTGGCTACCCCCAATTTTCTTGCAACTCGATGCCTCAAGCTGGTAGTGACCGCAGGCGAAACGGCCAGGACCTCGCAAAGGGAGAGAGTTTGATCAGCTAAGGACCACTAAGGTGGTCCGCGCTGAGTGCCACATCTGGTTTGGGCTGCTGGCACTACTTCAAAGTCGTCTTCTTCTTCGAGCAATCATGCATTCATGATGCTTGCAGTGCTCAATGTACATATGTGTCCATAAGCTCATAAGCTCCTCTAAATTCGAATTTTAGACAATAATCTCAAGAAACAAAGAGCCACAAATCACCATGTGCTGCTACCAATATAGCTGCTATGCCTCACCAGAAATCTGAAGGTCAAATTCTCTGAGGCTGTTGCCAAGTTGCTTCACGTTTAAACGAATGATGTCCCGACCTGGAAGATCCAGGGATACCGTTGCCTTTGCCACGCGTGACCGTCACAATGTAAAGCTTAGCCATGCTTTGGCTAACCATCAACCAAACATGTCAATTATGTCAAACGCCAGTGGAGGCATTTTCGCCAACATGTCAATCAATTCCGACCAAGGAGGAATGGCCCAATACCAGCACTGTCTGCGCAACATCTTTACATTGACGCTTGCGAGGTGACGGGCGGTGTGCCCGCTGAGCCTCTAAGAGAGGCGCGGGCGAAATGCTTGCGAGCTCACCACAGCCCATGAAGGCAGAACATCGCCACACAAAATCAGAAAATTATTACGTTCAGCGGTTCTGCCTGCATGCGCCACGTGTGGCCAGGTACTAGTCATGGACCCTGCACAAAGCTCAGGTGGTGTGCGGACGATGTTTAAAATCTTTACTATGTCCACAGTTTCTGACAGGTCGGCGGCTTCTTATCTACACACACGCAAGCAAAGCATGTGAACACACAGGCACGAATACATATCTGTTTGTTTTCTTCTCCGTGTGCGGAAATAAATTTACGCATGCGTATACTTATACGGATACATATGCGCACACACACACATAATTAACAAACTAAGAAACCATGCAAGTAAATTTATTTATATATATATATACATGTGTGTGTATAATATGTACAAATAAACACCCAACACAATATATAATTCTATATTCACACGGTGTCTTCTATATTGTCCGCTGCACATCGATCCCATCTACACAATTCAACTGTGACTAGTACTGACTATTACCAACGGTTAGAGATGGCTACATACTGTAATACAGGTGATTATGTTGTACACACACACACATATATATATTATAATACGATATGGGTATTTCTTAAAATGGTGACATGGGCTCTAAATGGTTTCAATACTAACACGGTCTAGTTTTATCTAGTTTTGGATGATTGGGGGGTACCCCGACTCAGGAAAGCTGTGGACATTTGCTTTGACGGCGTCCGTCCAAGCGAGCGCGGTCCAGGTATTGGCGCAGGACTTGATGCACTGCGATGCACTGCGGGCTGGAAACTTTCGACCTAGACACAACATGACACAACACAATGCGACAGGTAATATATGGATCAAAACGACATAATGACATAATCATACATAATCATGAATCATATCATAATATATCATAATCCTATATCCATTATTGATATTTATTGATCATTGTCGATTGTGATTGTGGACCAATGGACTTCCATGGGAGTTTGCATTGTCGATCTCACATCTCTCAGCCGCTTCTAGCCATTTCTTTCAGCTGGCAGCTGTACAAACGCATGGCCAACTACGTGCAATGAGTTCCATTCAAACATCTTCAAATAGGGTCGGTGCTTGGAATAGTTATCTTGGAATAGATCAAGAAGAAGGCAAAGAAGGACATTGAACATATTGAAATGCTTTATAATTATACGTACAAATTATATAATTGAATTTAATTGAGCTGATCTCGCCTGCAGAAGGACTGGTGGATAGTTGCTATCTGGTCCCCAGTACTTACAGGACGAGCCGTGCAGCCACTTGGATCTTCAGGCAGCGTTTCTCAACGAAGCTGGGCTGCGCTTCAAGGGTGCGCCAAAGCCAGATCCCAATGGTATGCTATGATGGATGTGATGGATCACGATGTATCATGACAAATGGCGACTTACTTTGTTGGTCGTTTGGCGTGCAACCCTGGTTTTGGTGAAATACCATCATACCGCTGGGGTCCGCTGGGCCTCCTAATTATACACGCAAACCACGAAATCCATAGTGCGTTGACGATCAAACCCTTTCTGAGCCACTGCCCCAAGCAAAGACATACGCCTAAGAGAACGATTCAAATTGCACACATGTGATGCATAGGGAAAGTATGGGAAAGTTATGGAAACTTATTGCATATCATCTGCTCCTCCCGATGATCCCCAGACATAATCGCACAATGAGGCAATATCTTCCCACGTAATCCCACTGACTTCAGCACAAGGGGGTTCAATAAAATTCTCCGAAACCCGGTCCCATCACGCTGCTCAGGTGCTCGAAGCCCATGTGACATGCTTGGACAAGGCCACCAGTGCCAAAGATGAGTTGCTGCAGGTCAGCGTCAAACTGCCGGGGATCATCGATCTTGGACAGGATGAACTTCCTTTGACATGCCGTAAGGCAGAACCATAGGGGCTCCGGTGTCATGAAGCCACGGGCATGGCTATAACATGCTATAAGATGCTATAACATGCTAATAGGCTATAAATATTTACAGTAAATGGTTATCGCGCCTGAAGTGGCAATTTCATGATTTGTGGAAGGTTTGCAGGGGCCCTTCTACTCCAGAAAGCCTGCTATGAAGCTGTTTGCCCTACAATGTGCCTATCAAAACAGTCTTGCAGGCTCTCCAAAGGGGTTTGCCTGAAAACAAGTTGTGCCCCTGAATTGGATGATAATAATCATTTTCCCTGTGAAATGGCTATTTAGGGGTGTACCATGGTGTACCCAAGTGTACCCATCAAAGTTTGCAAAACCATTGTCAACAAGTTACGCATCTGCAGGATTCGATGCCTTCATCTCCTGCGACCATGGCTAACTTTAGGCAAATGAGGTGGCACTCGACAACTTCAGTCGACCCCAAAAAGATCAGCAAATCAATGCAAACCAAACGAGATGAAACAAGAATTGTATACCACTTGAATCACTTGAAGCTCCAAGCTTCGCAATCTTCGCATTTGACAGGGTTTGGATTGTGAATCTGGTGGAATGTCTTGGAATGTCTTGGAGTCTCTCCCCTTTGTCTGGACAACTCCGCTAAGGTCAGGCCCAGGTGTCCAAACCACAGCCTTTTGATTTGAACCTGTGCATCCTGTGCTACATTGTTTCATAATGTTTCAATATGTTTCATATTGAACCCACTACCAGTCACTACCAGCTTCCAAAGCAACAAGTCCCTCGGAATTCCCAACCGAGCTGAACCTGGACTTTGAGGTGATGCAACCAAACCTCTTCACGCTTCAAGTTCTCTTCAGAAAAGATAATCATGCCTTGCTAGGGCAGAAGAAAACTCACATGGCAAAGACCTATTTACCTAGATTTCTGAACCTGGCAGGATCAAGCAGCCAGCTGGAAGATCACAGAATTCTGCAGCTAGGGTAGCTTCCAAAATGGTGTAGTGACTGGCATGGTGGTTTGATCTCATTATCCGATTTATATCTCCGAACAGACACTCAACCAAAGTCAAAACGACAAGGAGGCAGCAACAACAACAGCAACAACAGCAACAGCAACAACAACAACAACAACAACAATCACCACCACCACAACAACAACAACAAGAAGAACAAGAACAAGAACAAGAAGAACAAGAAGAACAAGAACAAGAAGAACAAGAAGAACAAGAAGAACAAGAACAAGCTAACAACACCGTGGCCAGGCTAGTTTGGGCGACCCCACGTTGTGGCATGTACATCTGTTGAGCTTGATGAATCTCGGCAACGCACCAGGCTCTAGTAAAGAGATTGAACTGTATGTCAACAGCGATCAATTGGCTGCACTCAGGGTTCAAGGAAAAAATGCAGTCCTCAGGCTTGCTCAAGTGCAGGCGGTGAAAACCTGGAAAGCCTTGTTGAAACTGAAGCCAGACCATACAACTCAAACCGCCCGAAAGAATCCAAGAGGAAATTCCCTAGGATAGCTAACCAGCCAAGGTTTGCCAAGAACAAGCATGTAAAAGAAAAGGTTGAAAGGCTTCCAGACTTGCAATGCAAATCAAAAGGACCAAGCGTCCATCATGTTATCAAACTTATTCATTTCACAGTCCACGCTTTGTCCGTCTTTCAAGGGCTCGGAGTCGCTCCAATGCTTGGGATGTTTACACGAACATGCTTTTGGCAGCGCGTGCGTCACAGGGTCTTGCAAATCCGGAGGCACGTAGCCGCAAATCCCGGCATGTTGATTGATGCTGAAACAGCAAATCCAATACGCGGTATCCTGGTAGCTGTTGCAATCTGCTAACATCTTGGACAGTGAAGGAACAGCCCATCCCATGAAAATATGTGAATATAATGTTGACCAACGATAATATAAGATAATTATAAATCAGAGGCAGACATTATGTGGGTTCCCAATGGTTCCCATATGAATGGCCCCACATTTGAGATTTTGCCGAGCCACCAGCTTCTTCTTCCAATAAAGCTCGGATTTCAAGGCCAACATCTCCTGGGCTTCAAGCCTGGCTAAAACGGATTCATAGCTAGGCAGTTCCAGCGCATCGGCCACAACAGACGCCACCAAATGGGCAAAGTGGTTGGACCAGCTGTGGGTGACCATACCTGAGACACATTGCTATAGTGTAGGCATCAAGTGGCTGGATACCAAAGCCCCTCAACCCCCGGGAAAAACATGGAAAAACAACATATCAAAAACATGTCAAACACCCATATCAAAAACATAACATGCTTTGACAAGTTAGATGCGATCTGGAAGTATTTCTCGACCACCCATCAGCACCATAGCCGCAGCGCAATCCCCGTATGGACTCTGTCGGCTCATTGGAATGATCACCTGCCGCACGATATCCGACGTTTTGTGTCTTGCAGGGTCAAAGTGAGGCATCTTGGCGGGGAGGCTGCTATAAAACTCCAGGAGAGCTCTCAACGTCACAGCCCGATGGGCAAGTTCATAAGTCTTCTCATCCCATGAGTGGTGTCCTGTTTTCCACTGGTCTATGTCCTTAGATGGCAAATTCTTGCAGTGAGCCAAAGAGTCATCGTTTTTTTTGGCAATAACTTTTCTACGAGCCAGAACTTTTTTTAATCACAAGAATGCGGTGTTTCATGTGCACCTGGATGTAAAGTCTCACCCTTCAATCGTCAGGTTTCTTGCCTTGCTCTCAGGTATCCGCAAGGCTCTTGGCCAAATTTGAGTATTCTGACTTGAGATGGTTCGATCATGTTTGATCATCTTTAATACAAGAATGTGTGGGCAGCGGGGCTTCAAATTTCAGCAAGATTCTTCCAAACTCTCGTTGCTGAAGCTTCCAAAAATGGCTCCGGACATCTGGTGGAAGATCCCCTGCTTCGGCTTCTTCTGAGGAAGATTGAACTCGGCCAAAGATAGCAGCGAGGAATACCGAGCACAGTTGGCCAGCGAAAGAATAGCTGCCGAAAGGAAAGCCATCTCCTGCTGGCAAATAAGCCCAAGCGTCACCCACCCAAAACCGTCAGAAGTAGCTGGGAAGGGACTCCTTTTCTAAAGAATCATGGGGCCATGGGGAAACGTGCAAAACAAACGAAAAGTTCTGAACATTTCTGAACAGTCTTCAAGATCTTCAAGGCAAAAAGTCCCGATCTCCTGGATGGTGTGCCTGTGGTTTGGCTGGTGCCAGTGCAATTGAAATAACCAGAACACATGGAGAGCAAAGGCAGTGGCAACCAACAGCAGGTTCAACGGCGTCTCCCACCTTAGTATGATCCATCTTAAGGATCCAACACCAAAACGTACCCCGACGGACCCCCCGGTACATTCCAAATGCTTGCCCAGTTACCTCATTCGCTTCGAGAAATGGACTGCTTTGAGGGCGAGCTCATTTTCTGCGGGTCTTTTTTCCTGTCCGGCCTCCATTTTGGCATAGCGATGTGCTAAGCAGAAGGCGCGGGTCATGAGGACTGCCAAAGCAATGCAGGAGAGGACCACTGATACCTGGAGATATCTGGGGACTGTCTGTTTGCCATAATCTGGCTATTTCCGTGGAATATCGCTGTTGTATCCCTACCTCCACACTAGATTCACTAGATCCCACTGGCATCTGGTGAACCCTCCAGCGGCAACATTTTCTTGACAATCCATGGGCACCCTCAGCAGAGATGTACCAGTTAGCCACGGAACCTTCTGCGTTTTGGATCGTTTTGGTGCATCACTGAAGCAATGGAAATTCTAACAGCATCTAACAGCCACAGAAAGGAACTTCAAACATCTTCCAGCAGTCTTTGTCAGAGACCAAGCTGCTTCAATGAGCATGACAATCCCAATCAGCTCGTGCACTTGTGACACAGAACTGGAGCCAACAAATGACACGGTCGACACAACGATGGATACTCCGAAAATGACCTGGAGGTAGTCCAGAAATTGAGTGCCTTCAGGGGCAAGATGATGTAAAATACAAAATGAAGCCTGGGTTGACGGGTTGACGTAAGTCATAAGTTGCAGTCCATTGCAGTCTGTTTCTATGTTGTAATGTGATATGCAGTCCGTGCTTGATCGTTGGGGGTGGCTCAAGAATTGTGCACCTAGTGGACGCTCGAAAGCCCTCTCCAGCATTGCCAAGTGTGTCTTGATGATCGTGAAGCCCATGAGCTTGTTGAACCAGAAAAACACATGGCAAAGAATCGCAAAAAAACCTGGACGGGACGCTTGCAACATGTTGATACCAATATGGTCTCAACTACCTGGGAACTGCATGTCAACAAACAAAATCAACTAAACCTGCGTGAACCGCATCAAAACTGTCTTGATCAATATTTACCAATGCAATGCCAGAAGGCTCAATGTAGTCAGACCACTTGCTGGATTGTAGCGGAGTCCACAGGCAGGGTGAGTCGCCAGAAAATGAAAAAGCCAAACATTCACCGAGTCCAGCAACACGTGCCACCTCACCCTGTTTAAAAAGGGCGAGGAAAGCCACCACTTCATTTGAGATGACAGGACTAAGCCCAAGCATGCAAACGATATAATGGATGTCAAGATAGACATCCAACTTGCTAGGATCACGTCCTCAGCTGGCAACTCTTCTTCTTTGCAAATGATATGTCCTGACAGAGTTTGGCCTCCCCCTTGTGCTTCCGCCGATGATATAGTACATTCGAGATCAATCCTATCCCACCCCGCATCAACACAGCACAGGGAAACACCCAATTCTCGGCCTGCGGGCTGTGCAATTGGAAGAAATATGGCGACAATCGCTAAAATGGTCGCAGCCACAGAGCGAATCAATGCACCTGCAGCATGATCTTTGAGGGAGGTTCCTGCTTGCCAGCTAATAACACGAAGCACGCCGGCAAGGCCGCAAACATCCAAAAAAACAGTCCATGCTGGACACAACTCAACTGACCAAAACCAAACATGTTCAAATTTATTCCAACATCTCAGAGCCACATGAAATGTTCCACATGTTTCAAGATTTCCCAAGGCACGTCTCCGGACATCTGCCCACACGCGCTGCGGCGGCACGGATTCGTCACTGGAGGATGAGGCACATGAGGGTGAGCGGGGTGAAGCCGCAACCAGCTCTTTGCGCCAGCAGAGCCATCTATGCCAGGCAGCCATTTGAGCCATCGGCTGACAGCTGGAGATGTCTTACGCACCTGCAAATGGCCTGTGGCAATACGAACCGCTGATGACTTACCCCTGAAAGATCCTGGAAGTGTTCTGTGAGACTAACAATGACTGGTCATTAGTTGGGCTGCAGCTGGTTTGGGAGAAAGATCCTTCCAGACTTCCCATCAAAGAAGGGCCATGGCAGTGTCCAAATGTCAAACAAGACCAGGGACCACGCCTTTCTTGGACAATAACACTTCCAGTTGACCACGGCTGGTGTTGCGCGCCCTGGCAGGCTCTGCATAGAGGATCATAGAGGCATTCCAAAAAAAAAAACGTCCCTCTGCAAAAGGCCCAAACAAGTACAGCAATGCTTGCAGAAAGTGGACACCGATCCGAAGTGAAAGATCATTTATGATTTATGAGGCATTTTTGATCAAAATCCAGACTAAATGTTCTTTTCAATCCATAAACCGATATAAACCAATACAATTTTGGGAGCAACTTCATCATCCTAAACCTCCCCAGGTGAGAGCCAGCCCTGCTGCGATCAAATTTGTATACAGCCTTGCAACCGTGGAAGATCTATATAGGAGGGTTCACTATGCCTACGTGCATGGTATCCTATTTCTGTATGCTTTGTCGATACATGTTCTAGTACTTCTTCTTGCTAACTTACAACACCCTAAATGCCTAGAAAAGTGTCACATTTTCAGTCAAATCATGAAGTTGAACATTCACATGCTCAACGTGTTTCAAATCATGCCTACTACGCTTCCCAATGCCATCATGCATGTAAATCAACATAATACAATACAATACAATACAGTATAGTACAGTACAATACAACTGAACACAATACTTGAATACAAGACACAGAAACCAACACATGCAACCAGTATTGGACCAGTATCTAGGAATTGTGGATACAGTGCGTGTCGCACATGACCATGCCATCCATTGATATTTATTGGCAGTTCACATTGCAGTTTCTTTTTTTCCCGCGCGCTCTCTCTCTCTCTCTCTCTGGTAGGATTTCTAGTATCGGGGTTGGTGTCTTGATGAGCTCAAGATGCCAACGAGGTACCACTCCACTTCAACCTTGTTGCCCATGCTATCGCGCCTGAGCCGCTGAGCTTGCAATGAGTCTTTCAAAGTGTATTGGGTGTGCAGTTGCAGATTCAAATAAGATAAGGGCGATTAAATCCAGTATAGGTTGGATGCAATCCAGAAGGCTAATTGGTAAATAGAATTAAATAGATGTAAATGATAATCCTTTGCTGCAAACGATGCAAAAAGGTGGAGCCTTCACGGCCCTGGTGCTGCAATAATCCAAGATACTTCTAGTGCTTTTGAGGGTTTACCAGGGTGATTGTGAAGTGAACACCCCTCGATGGAGGCAAGAGGACGAGTTGCCTCATGTTGCATGGCTCATTGCTCTGTCAGACTCTGTCAATATTGCTGTCCCAAAAGTCAGGAATGCCTCGAGGCTCCATCTCCCTGCTGCTTGTACTTGTTGCATTTTGTACTGGAATCGTTGATACATGTTAATACTAGTACAGGTTAGCCCCAAATACAAGCCCGCAAAGGGAACCCTGAGGCAGAAACCATTCTCCCAAGAAATCCTCCAGCCGCAGCTCCTGCCTGAAGCACTGGCTATATAGTTATCTGTGCAGCTGCATAGTGCTGCATGTGGTTTTCTTGGTTGTTTTTATGATCATCAAATCGCTTGACATGAACAAATTTGCCTCGAACACCAAGAAAACATCACGGTCAACTCATGACTTTTATTGAACTTTCTATAGTGCCCGTCTAAAGCAAGCAGGACTTTCTTGTGACAAAGTCGTGTACCCGATCTGGGTGCCTGCTGGAACGCTAATCATCTGCACTATTTCGGAGCAGGTTGGCGGTGGTGGCAAAGGAGGTCAAATTAAAGACAACTTATGAGAACTTCACATCTTGCATCTGACTCTACAAAATTTCAAAGGCGCCTTCCAGATTGAAGCGCACCAGGTGGCCCAGACACGTGCCTGTGGGTAGGTTGAGGAGAGCGACTTGACGGCTGTGATCTGTCGTGCAGTGGGCCCTTTCCAAACCAATCCACAATGCACCCGCAGCATCAGTAGCATTCCCATAGCAGCTTTTCTGTGTTTTTCTTGTCACCAAGCAGCACAATAGCTCAAGCAGGCTGAGAGTGCCAGGTACAGATCTTTGGCTGTTCAACTAATCCCTTGAAAACATGCCGCTGCTCAGGCCTCGCTGTGACTGCTGGAGCCCATACTTCTAGAATTCAGTTCTGTCAAATATGAAGAGAACTCAATACAAAACATTCCATACCTTCTGTGTGAAATGTACCTAGGGGGGCTGCAGCCAAATCTTTTGGTTCCCTTTCCCTTTGCCTCAGCCAAAATAAGAGGATGGTCATGGTGCTCGTGTTTCCAAGGCGGGAATCAGTACTGCCGTAGAAGGCATCTGATCGGATATAGTACAACATGAAACGTCATGAACTCATGTGGAATGGTGATTAATTTCTTTTAAATCAGGGCAGCCTAGCATCTGAAAACCCATACCAGCTGCAAAAATCAGTAGCGCGGTGCGGCAATTTCATGCTTTCGTTCAGGACTGCTTTGGCATGCTTTCAAGCCCTTGACCTCTCTGCGAGGTCCGGTGGCCGTCAAGGTGAAAGGCTGGTCTTTTTCAGGCTGTCCAAACTTCTCCGCACGATCCTCAACCCTCAGCAGCGAGCAACTGACTCACATTGAGTGCGAACCACTAAAAACACAAGTTAAATGGTGCCAGGTGCCATGCGGGGCTCGCATGTGACTTTCACATACACAACACGCACACGCACACAGAAACATGGTGCCGGGCATCTGAGAGGCTCGCGACTGTCGTCACTGTTCAAACATTTTCTAGGGGGAATTGATAAGGCTCAAAAACGAAACCTTAGTATCGTCAGCAATATCAACATCATCATCGTCATCTTCATCATCATCATCATCATCATCATCATCATGATGTGGTGAGAACATACAGCAGCTATCACAATATTATACTGTATATGATTATGCACTATTAAATTAATCAACATTATACTTATACAATGATGTGACATCTGTTTATTCTTGCTTAGACATGTATCGGGGCAACCTTTGTTTCCGTCCATAGCCAAGTAACGTTGATCCGCACTTTGGCCGAGATCCTCAAGCACATACCTAGAACGGCAGGAGACTTGTCCAGCTACAAGCCCTCTCGCGCTGCTTCCAATGTACTAATGTATGGTCTAGGTGCTTCTAATGTATGGTCTGGGTGCTTCTGGGTTCCAGAGTTGTAGTCTTTGACTACCTTTCATATCTGAGATCTGGACATATCATGAACTCTGGTAAAAATTAACCTTTCACATGATGCAACTTGTCATCTCAAGACACGCCATATCAGTACCTCTTGCACTACCATGGGCTGCGAAGACAAGCGGCAGGAACTGCACGCTTAACATGGATTAAACCCATAGGGTCTTGACGACATAAACACGTTTGGAACCACAGTAGTATTTCATGTTCATTATCACTTGAGCAATCGAAACATGAGACCAACTAAGAGGGCACAAGCTCCGATTGCCCACACAGCCACCAAGCCAGCGTTCATCCGGTGAGCGCCTTTGGTGTAAAGCTGTCATCAATTGTCATCAACCGTCACAACAATGACAGCAAGCAAGGACCGTGGAACAAACTAAGATGGTGCTTGCCAAGCCGGTTTTTGGTCCTTTTGATGCTGTAGCGCTCTAGCCCTACTGCAGCCAGTGGAAAATGGATTCTGGATGAGCATTGATGGATAGCACACCAGAAGTGGGCTTTTAAACACACGGACACGCACACACACACACACCACACACCACACACACACACAGACAACACAACACAACACAACACAACACAACACAACACAACACAACACAACACAACACAACACACCACACCACACCACACCACACCACACCACACCACACCACACCACACCACACCACACACACACAACACACACACACACAACACACACACACACACCACACCACACCACACCACACCACACCACACACAACACACAACACACAACACACACAACACACACACACACACAACACACACACACACACACACACAACACACACAACACACACACAACACACACACAACACACACACAACACACACACAACACACACACACAACACACACAACACACACACAACACACACAACACACACACAACACACACAACACACACACAACACACACACACACAACACACACAACACACACAACACACACAACACACACAACACACACAACACCAACAACACACACACACACGCACACACACACACATTTTCAACACAGCTGACCCGCTCAGCATGATCTGACCCACAGTCGTTCAAACAAAGTTCCAAGCCATGCCCCCTGCCTTGGAGGTTGGTGGAGCTCAATGAATTTTGCTGTGGGCATTTCAACGGAATCCAAATAAAAGCCGCGCAGAAGCTCCTGACAAGTGGCCAAGGAAGGCTTCGACGTACTTGCACGACATTGCACGACACCCACTTGATCTGCAGAACTAAACTTGGACGACTCTATATTCGAGATGACGGTCATTCACGGTCACTTTGATGAAGTTGATTGAAGCTGCTGCCCAGCCAATCAAAATCAACCAACCTTAGAAACCCACACCCAAGTTTGTAGTTTGTGGAGCTTCCCCACGTGCCTCTTTTCTGGAAGATGCGAAGAGCCAGGGAACACCGGGCCAACGCAGAAGAAAATCAATGTTGAGGCTGGATGGCACATCCAAGTCTCGACGTGGTAAGAAGTCCTGGTGGAGCTGCTGAAGTTTAAGGAAAATCTTATCTTCAGAATGCATTCTTTGCAGGGCACACCGGTATATATATATATATACATAGAGAGAGAGAGAGAGCGAGAGAGAGGGAGAGAGAGATATATATATACACATACAGTAATATGAAATAAAGTAGATAGAATATGAACTCCTGAACATTTCAATCAATCCTCACTTCACCTGGAACAAGTTTGAAATTCTGGAAGCTGCCAACCCCATAGTCTATCTACTCTAGGATTACTACACACACACGTATATGTATATATATATGTGGATAATTAGATTTTTATACGCACCCACATGTATATATATATATAATATATATTATTATGATTTATGATTATTTATATATTCACACATGCAGGGTCATATATGCATGGATATGTCATCGTCACTTGCTCCCAGCGCGAGCTCAGGCCGCTTCCGACACCGAGGCACGCATTGCTGATGACAGGCTCGACGAAGCAGGACGATCTGATCCCTCTCATCGTCCAGGGCACCCATTTGGCGCGAGGCCCAAAGCTCCTGCGTCAGCCGTTTCTATCCCATCTCTGCTGGGTCTCATGATTCATGAGTGATGTCTGGATCGACAAAGCGGGGTAGCTAGGTATCTCTGCTTTCACACCATTTCGCACCAGCATCCCGCATTCTCGCATTCACCACATGCATGATGAAACAACATGAAACTACTGTACCACCTACCACTATCTACCACTAGCCCCTAGTGTTTGAACATCTTTGAACACGTTGTTTCACTGCTACCCTCTGCATCCATCCCTATCCCATCACATTCCCATTGCTGCTCCGCCTGGTGGCTTTGTATTTGCACAGCACGCCATGGCCCACCCTTCAGCTCCATCATCTCCGCTGCCAGACCCAACGGACTCAAGGGACAACGCAGCAGTTGATGACCTCAAAACTGCGCCTGGGGTGACCTGTCGATACCGGCACCACGCAAAAGATAGGAACAAATGCAGGACACATGGACATTTAGAATATATATATATATATTCTATATATACTGCGGTATACATACATACATATATATATATTATATAAATATCAAATTCATACAAATTCATACCCATATCCATATCACATAAATAAATATAGTTGGAATACAACATATACAAGTATGATGCAAATGCCAACAACCATCTACTTCATCTGCTGGCGACAATGCAGATCTGGTCTGCAGCCCAAAAGCCGTTCTCTGCTAGGAGCCACAGCGAGCAGTTTTCAACCGCCTGCACAGCTGCACGAGTGGGCAACAAGTGGGCAAATCACCCCTCGAAAAGTAGGCAAGATGTCACAAACTATATAACATTATATAACTAATTAGTTGATATTAATTATATTACCTTTTTATATATTTTTGTTATATTTGTATCTATGTATTGTGCAAGAAAACAGGCCTCACAATGAAGAGAGAAGCTGCGAATGCCTTGGCCCTGAAAGTCCTGAAAACTCATCAGGCTGGGGCGGCTGGGGGTTGACAAACAGCCAACCAAAAGGCTGGAAAGCTTGGCAAACATCATCCATGTTTGATGATCATTGACGGTCATGACCATCTAGATTGCTCGAAGCAGCCATCAACCAGAAGTTGAGTGCCAAAATGTGCCAAATGCAAGAATGAATCAACTGACATGCAGTGACATGCATATTATGTATCTAATTACTACCTCAAACACACTAACAAAATCTAACAAACCACAAACCCTCTGGGGCGCATGGCTATTGAAAACGCGTATGTAGAATATGACAAAACGGAAGACACACACTGGTGATCACAGTCGGTCCGTCTCTCCGAAAATGCAGCGGTCAATGTTGTCCTATTGCAGAGCTGCAAGCTGTAAAACGGTTGTCGGGCAGTTCTGCTGTGGATTGACAGGAAGGAAGTAAGAGGACCTAGTAGCGGCTTAGTAGCGTGAATGATGTTAAATATAGATTTATAATCATATTATATATATAGATAGATTTATCAATCGTATTACATCTTATCAACTGATTTGAAAGGGCACCCTCAGGTCTATTCGGCTAGCTAGCCTGTGGGTTTGTGCACGGAGTTTGGTTTGGTACAGTATTCTCACTGGGCAGGAGGATGCTGCAGGTGTCAGCAAAAATCATGAAAGGATCCATAAGGATCCAGCTTGCATCACTAGCATGCCCAGTACATCCCAGTACCCCACAAAGTGCCTGAAGGAGATGTGCGTCTTTCGTAGTGCCATTGGCTTCTTGCAGCACATGCACAGCATACTTCTCCAGAGCCATCAAAGCACCAAAGTCCTCACGGCTCTGCTTGACTTATCCCAACTGCCTCCTTCCACAAACCGACACTGAAGTTTACACTGAGTCATCCCATTTGTATCCATTTGTCATGGATGAGGCATGAATCTTTTGAAACAAACGACGATCGGCAATCATCATCACCGCATATCACCGCTACCGCCACCAGCAGCAGCACCATCAGCATCAACATCATGCCAACTCATAATCCACCAATGGCAAACTGAGCCCGTAACTCGATGGCAAGCCAAACCCACTGGTCGAGCAAAGGCAGTGGGCCAATTCTGGATATTCACCTGGTCTTTGGAGCCCGTGAAGTGAATGAAGTGAAATTCATGTGCATTCTATGAGCTGTGCAATACAAGTACATTATGCTTTTCTTCATTCATAGTCGTATGAGTTCCGACCGTCATATTGCATCCGTCCATTTCAATGCTTTGGAATCCCAATGCATCACAGTGGCAAGTTCGCCCGTGGAAAGTGCAAAAGTCACCTGTCGTGTCACTTGGATGCCATCTGCCTGCTTTCTTTTAAAGCTTTCCATTAATGACTAATGTGGACCAAATTTGATCGTTCTTCAAGACCCCCAAAATGATCACACATTCTGAGCCAGCTGGCTCTGACTCATGCTGCCTCATGCTGCCATTCTGGGAAAGCACGTCCCTGTCACAGTCACTGTTTCTGGTTGGGCTGTGTGGCTTGGTGCTGTCACGCCTTGTGCTGATTGTGACCCAAATGCTGCAAAAGCGAACCACCGTGGTCACCCATCGCGCCAGCAGTCAGCGTATCATCGAAGGTGCTGGTGTTGTGACCGTGCATAGCTTCAAAGCTGATGTAGGCAATGATCCACACCTTACCAGCTGGTGAAATGGCATACTTTCAAACAGCCTCGAACGACCGAGTCTGGTCCAAACAAACATGTTTGGCATATTTTGGCATCTAGGGTTTCCTGGCAGCCAGCCAATCAGATCCAACCATTGGAACCAAGGTGCTAGGCTGATGGCCCATGCACCGATCAGCACTAAACTGCCCAGCTTCACAGTGCGCCAAGGCATCCGTCCAGTGGTCGTAAGGCGACTTCGTTCCGCACGGCGCCGTTCCTGCCAGATGGCGGCGGCTGGAGGGTTGGCAGTGGATTTTGGGGAGAAAGGAAGCAACCCGTTGTGTTAGCAAACAGTTCTGGAATGTTCTGGATGCCAGCACAAAGTGGGACTTGAAGAAAGCATGTTCAAACAATCAGAGGACACTGTAACGCGCGGCTCTTGCCTCCTCTTCCTCTTCAGGGTCAAACACCTGCCACGAGTATCCACTAGTGATGTTTGCTCTGGATTCAGTGTGATTTCTGGAGGAGCGATTTGTCAGTGCTAAAGCCTTCTAAGCCTGAAGAATGGCTTTACAGCCCACCAAACATTAACAAACTCTCTCGCAGAGGTGCTCCCATGCGGGACGAACTTTGTACACCGAGTGCCTGCGGGGCGGACTCCGATGTTGGATGGAATGTCAGGTCCATGCTGGGTGCGTCCATGGCATCATTCAAGGTTGGCCTGGATCTGGTCCTGCTGCGTTGCCCTTGGCTCCCGCAAGACACACAGCTGCCATGATGCACCCCTCCGGTGGCAATCTCAATCCACATGGTGTGTCCAACCATCTTTGGAAAACAATGAAAAACGCATATCTATACTTTGAAAGCTGGTGTTAGGCGTGCCACTTCATTTTACTTATACTCGCTAGTTTTGTGATTTGCACTCATTGGAATTCTGCAATTGGCCGTGCATCTCGATCCACCATAACAGACATATCTAGACAGCTTCCTCACAACCCCGCGCACCAAAGAGGATACAGTAATGCCATGTAATGCCTACAAAAAAAACAGCAAACAATGCATCTAAGAAGCTTCGTTGTCGTCTGATGGTACCTATCTGCTCTGAAAACCTGCCCGGCCAAAGAACTAGCGAACTCAGGTGCGATATCTGATCTCTGGTGGACTGACTATGACTGACCATCTAACATCATGAATTGTCACTCGTGTCATGGGCGGTCATGCCAAGGTATATTGCAGTGCGGTTGGAATGATTCGACCTTACATTCACAGCTTTGCCATTAGCAGCTGTACGTTCTGTCGGAGGATGTCATCTTCCATGTGTCGCACCTGGCAATTTCTGCTCGGAGGCCAAGGATGTCCAGAATGCGGCCTGAAGCCGGAGGCTCTTCGCACAAACATCTGCCCTCTTCACCTCAGAAGCTTGGGCTCTGGAAGAAGAAACACCAAGGAAATCGATGGAAATTGCCTTGGAAGAAGGACTAGCCAGGATCTACCACAATTCTCATCAACTCATATCAACTCCGCGTGTAACCCACTGTAACCCACTGCTTGGATCTGCTTGGATGGCCAATCTGACATATACGGTACTAGTCATATCTAGTCATCTAGTATGCTATATTTCACGGTGCTCGAGCCGAGATCATCATGAAATTGGGCAAGTGGCAATTCTGGAAGACCTGCATCATTCGACCATGGCCTGGGCATCACGGACCAAGGCAATGTATGGATATGTACGAATATCAAGGGGGCGGAACTTCTGACTGAGTCACTATTCAACCAAATTCATCCATACATTCATTCTAGCTTTCACTTTTCCAGCTTTCATGCGGAGCGTCCGCTTTCAACTTTAAACATCAGTTTTCGGGAACCAACCATCTATGGAGATGAATTATAAATGTCATACACACACATATATATATAATATTATATATATATATATATAATCTATCTATCTATCTATATATAATTATATATTTATAGAATGTTATATTGGTTTTGAACATGCCTCAAAACCCGAAAAAGGAATGAAAGTGGGCCGAGCTGCTCTCCAGATCCACCCGTACCCAAACAGGCTCGGAATCTTCCGACTGCCCCTGGATCTGTGAGACCTGACCAAGGCCCGTGGGGGTCAGGCAGCTGCTCGATTGCTCCCATCACCATGACTAGAAGTTCTAGAAGCATCTGTAATGAATCTGCAATAGTGAGCGCCAATTGCAACTAATTATATATAATTACTTCTGCATTCTGCACTATGATCACTATGTGTTCATAATGATAATGTCCATAGAACACGGGCAACACATGACAAAACAGTGAAAAATATGACAAAACATATCCAGCTGACGAAGTTGACATCCCTTCACCATCCCCTCCCTCGCCTCTCCGCTGGACGATGAGGCGGGAAGAGTTGCCTAGTTGAAGTGACCATTAAACATATTTGAACACGTTTTAAAATGTTTCAAAACACGCTTGCTGCGACAAAGCATAGAGTATTGTAGTCGACTTCATCAACTTCATGCACCCTAGGTTACAAGGCCCTAAATGATGCCCCGTGCAGAAATCGGCGAGACTTGCAGATCTTCTGCAAATAAATCTAAATCTCAGGCATACAACACCATTGCCAATACGTTTGCATGAGAGGTCGATTGAGAACGAGAAAAATCGTAAATGCATGTGAAAGCATGTGAAAGCTACACACATCATAAAGGTTAAAAAATCTACAGCCATACAAAACTAATCAAAACTACTACAGTAATCTTTGTCATCTTTGTCTCTTTCACTTGCAAACCAAGCAGTTCGCGTCGCCTCTGCCTCCGTGAAGGTGGCGCACAGCTGATCAAACTCCCGTCTCAAACGCCTGCCATCGGCTCTTCAGCAGGGCATCCCGGGGCATCCCGGGGCATCCAAGATCCACCGTGTCCCCCTTCCTTGAACATCGAAACATCATGAAACATCATTGAATCATTGGCCTGATCTCTCTGACGTCTTCGCTGAGCATGGCTTGGACATCGTCAGATTCGAAGCGTTCCAAGTCCTGTTTTGGGAGAGAAGGTTTGTAAACAGATCAGCACGAAAATCTCATGCTACATTGTAGCCGATGATCTTCGATTCAAGGGTTGCCCTAGAAAAAATGTGAAACAATATGCAACATAGGGCTAGCAATGACTGGGATTCTGAAATGCCTAATGCTGCTTGACTCTCGCTTTTCTGCAACTAGCTGCAACTCACCATCCGCACATTTGACCCATCCTTGGCCAAACGTGCTCGCAGCTGACGACAAATCACAATGGCACCTTGAAGGGCTTCAGGTGGCCTCGAAGGCGAAGAACTCCGATGTACACATCGAAAAAAATCACTTTCAATTTGAGTTCAACATATTTCAATGTATTTTAGCAAACATATCGATGCCAAATGATGCCAACACATTTCAATGACTCCCAATGCCAAGTCCTTCAACCATCCCCAAAACAGCCAACTACATTCAATTCCACCATCCAAAAGCATTCCAAAACCACCAATCACTCCACTTCAAAGAATGCATCAACGGGAATATGATGCATTGATGATCATAGATGATCCATTGTTTGAATTGATCACAGCCAAGGGGCAGCTCTTCTTGAGCTCCCTCCGGGCCTTCACCTCACAGCATTTCGTCGCTGAAACAGCGAGACGGTTGATGACAATGAGGGCTGGCAGAATGTCCTCGACGCCTGAGCTTCCAGACTGACTCTTGAAAGCTGACGCTGGATTGGTTCCTCTTCCTCGCCTCCTCGTGATGCCAAGGGCCAAGCAAAGTATAGCAAAGTTGGGTATGAGTCAGGGACATACGGGTGTCCAAATGGTGTCCAATATGTCCAATCAAGGTTTGAATACGTTCGAATTGAAGCCAAAGACCACTTAATTCTGCCCAGGGAGAAACAAAGCTGCCAGGCTATGCAGCTGAAAGCAATCTGTCCGTCCTTCGTCTAAGACGAAAGTGGGCTCTTCATCAAGATCCTGTTTGCCAGACATGTCTTCATTCGAAGGTGTTTGCACGAATCAATTGTTGGGTCTATCATGGATTATCATGGCCTATCCATTCCCGGTTGCAAGCCGGTATTTGTGAGGTGCTTGGTCTAGACACGAGCATGGCTAGAAACTGCAACGGGCCTTTTTGATTGGACTTTCTGCTGTACGAATCATCCGGTACATTGCCACGTCAGAGAATATACAATTACGATTCAACAAACAATTGAACCGGTAGGTAAAACCCATTGGCTTTTCTGTCTTTATTGTCGTTCTCTACAGATCCAGCCTGCTCAGATTCTTCCGCCAACCATCCGAAGACATCCAGAAACAGAACGCTACCTCGGTGTGATATGGTCCATGGTGTGATGGCGCTGTATGGCGCTGCTATGCACTGTTGTTGGGCAGCTGAGGCGTGGGATGGCGTGGGTATATTTAAGAACACCGTGGAAATATGAGTAGCAGTTTACAAGAATTTACATAATGAGCAAGGCCGAACATGTGACCAAACAAGCAAAGAACATCCCAGAACTGAGGCATGCAGCGCAGTTGTGGAAGGCTGATATTGGACAATTTGGGAAAATTAGCAACTTCTGGCCAAGCGGGACTAAATTACAATCAATTCAGCACATTCTACATATCATTTCTCCTTCAAAGCACAATGATGATGGCTGCCACCCGTCACGATCCTACACAACACTTGCAAATCTTGCAAAGTCCAACAGACCTCGGAGCTTCTGGGACACACCAGCGGTTGTCCAGCCCTTTCAGACAGGCGTCGGAATGTGGTAGGCAGTGCCATGTCGATGCCGCTGCCCCGCTTCTTGGCTCTTCCAACAAACCTGACAAATGTCATGTCGTGGCAGTGCCAAGCTGCTGGACCCATGTCCTTCTATAGTCGTGCCAAAGGCAGGGTATGTTGGTCAGTTCAGGCCACGTACTGTAGCTTGATGTCATCATCAAACACCTAATCTGCATGTCAAACATATAGAGCCTCCGAACAAAACAGGGTCCCTCCCCATGCAGCCCAGCGGCAAGGTGAAAATGATCCACAGAATGTGCAAAAAGAAAGCCAATGGAACCAAACATCGATAAAAAGCTGTCCTTGGTGGGCTGCACCCTGAGTACCGAACTGGGAGGACAAAACAAAGTCTCTCGTCTTGCAGGCCAAGGGATGGCAAATGATTGACTTATTGAATTGTCACTTGTTCTAGGAATGCTCCCATAAATGCATGCTGAACTTTAACATTCTACAGTGAGGTACGAGATATCGAGATGGTATAAGACTTTAGGCAATGAGCATCATTGAAAATATTGAAAATCCGCAAGATTGGCTTAACGAATCCTAAGTTTCGCAAGGTGAGTCATGGGCTGCGGGACCTTGCTGAAGCCACGGTGAAGGCTGAAGCTCCTTGGCGCAGGGCTGCCAGGAGTCAGATCCCTGAAACTGAAACTCCGTAGGGGGACCAACTTGAAGCAACACAACAAAATAGAACAAACAAATCATACACATTAATACGCATTAATACACTATAGTCAAAATAAAACAAAATGGATCATGGATGTAAATGATGTATGATATGTGAGTTCAAAAAGGTCAAAGCTGCTGCAATTCTTTGAGCCGGAAAGTGCATTATGTGTTAGCAGTTGTTGGATCAAACACAATATAGGTCATAGGTGTTCACCTTCGACAAGTCAAATGCGGCTGTAAGGGTGGAGAATACTATGACTCTTCGTCTTGTCCCATGACTTGCATAGAAAAGCCATGAGCATCATTCAATAGTTTTCAGCTGCGGGACAACAAACGTTTACATGAACTGGAATGAACTTGTTACAATGTTCTATCCTTTTGTGCCTTTGTGCCCTTGTGTTTCATTGATATGGCTGAAACCTTAGGCCTGCGCGGTGTACGTATACATTAGAATCGTTGGATGTATTCATCCAAATCCACTACGAACATCCTGGAACTCGTTAAGCAAACTGTCATAAACTGTCCCGTTTGTTTGATGAAGGCCTTCACCTTGCAAGGCATGACCATTCTTGATTCCCAGCTGATCCTGGTTACGGATGGTTACGGATCAAACCCCCTTTCCGGCCCGCAGCTCAAGGATGCTCAAGGCACAAAGTCACAATGGCCGGAGGAAGAACCAGCAAGAAACCAGCCACGGCCAGAATTCTTCGAGATAGATACAGGTCAAGCCTCCATAGGTGTGTTCAACGGTCTGGAGATGTCTGGACAACGACATCCCAAAGGCAACTACTCTTGTGTTTTCAAGACTCCTGCCTTGCCAAAACCCATGCGCAGGCCGTGAAAATCACCACGCAGGAGAAAGCCGGAAATGGCACATCGTTCTCTGCAACCAACGTGCCCAGCATCATGTAGCCTGGCTTTAGGCATCATTTATGGTGAAGCATGGGCATTCAAACAATGAATATTTTACAGCAATGCCAGCCTAGCTACTTGCCTACCTACCAATCTATTTGCCTGGATTTGCTAGAATAACAGGTGGATCGTGGAACTGCAGAATTGTTTGCTGCTCTTTGGTATTTCGCTGGGCTCAGGAAAAGTTGCCCTCTAAAACCATTCAAGAGCGACATGATCAGCCCGAGTTTGTCCAAGCAGCTCAAAGTATGCAGCAACCTTGGCTTTTGAAGGGCCAAATGAACCAATCAAATGGCCTTTGGCTGCCATTCCCTGGAATCATCTGGAATCTAGCACGCAAATTGTTGCTTCAGTCATGTTGCAGTCCACTTCCGGGGGCTCAAGAACCTACCAAGGTTCTAAGCTTGGCTTCGTGGGACGGATGGATTATTTCATCTTTCCAATCTGGATTAATCTGGATAAACTATTTATACTCGTATTAGTCATTCAGCAAACTGAAGTAAGCGGATTTCATGCGATGTTGGGATAGGCGATACTCTCAACGAGATTTTGGGACAGCTTCAGCTCCAGGTACCATTGCAATCCCCGTGCCATCCTGTGCCTCTCTCCATTTCATATCATGGTTTCACATCATGTCGTATCATCATTGTCATTGTATAAATCATTGTCATCATTATATAGCCCATTATCACTATGTTTAAAGTTTATTATTTTCATTATTATCATTTCATTCTTCGCATTTCTGCAATTTTTTGCGCCGGGCATACTGTGCCAGTCATGTTCATCCAACATCAGTGTTGCCACTGGATGCCATTGATCACTCCAAGAAAGTGGCTCAGCGGCCGAGAGACTGATTGGTACCCATGGCCATGCACACACGTGCATAGGCGTCATAGGCTTGCCAATGGGCTTGGATCCGACGAAAGTGTCGGATGTGTCGAAGATCCACCTGGGTATGGTACCAAGACATACCAAGATAGGCGCCCACTACACTGACTGGTGAGGAAAAACGAGAAGATCTTATTCATTGCAGAACGTATGCAACACATGCATTACCTACGCAACATATGCATGCAGTTGCATAAAATGTGGCGCAAGTTGGTTCAAGAACCTCTTCGAGTTCAATTTTCAATGCCTTCTGATTTGATTTATTGTGAGAAAAATACATCAAACCACCATAAGTGGTCATAGTCTGATTGAACTTGACCCCTTGCCCAAAGATTTTTATATTAGGTGCTTGGGAATCTTTGGGACATCTCAGATCATCTCAGGACAAAACTTTTGGGAGGGGAAGGAGGCATCTTTTAACATTTTTAAACAAAATTCTGGCGAGTTTCCACCATCATGTTGGATTCATCCTCTTCGTCATCGGAGTTTGTCACCGAGGCCCCAGAGGCCGACATCTCAGCGTGGTGTGGGGTTGAAGGCTGTTTTTAATTGCCAACTGTTCAGATATGTTCAGATCAACATGGTTTTCTATGGGTTTTATGATGTTCTTATGATGTTGAATTTGAATCAATTTGAACTAACTGATGCACTCAGATCACCTGCAGTACCTCATGTACCTCCTCCTAAAACATGTAGCTTGGACGGCGGTGGCGACTCCATTCTGCAAAGCTGCCCGATCCTCCTCGTCCGTTTTGTCCATTGCTTGAGTTAAGCGCTGGAATTGCTGCTGCAGCACTGGGACCCGAAACATTTCTTTCACCTGGAAGCAGCTCAAGACTTGGAGAACATCAATGAACATCAAGCAACAATATCCAAAAACAATCAAAAACACATCCAAAGACACCGTCCATTTCCTTTATATGGCTGAGCAGAGTCCGCTCCTTGTCCAGGGCTTAGAGACGTGATGATACGCGATAGGGACTTGTAACTTTTTCAGGACAAGCTTCTCTCCACAAGGTCTTTTCTTCCAGACCCCAGGCCCCAAGGTGCCTTGTTCCCTTCATATTGCTGCGCTTTGAAGCGGCTCTTGTCCAACGTGGCATCATCGGGGATAGGCAAACGCACCACCTGTGTGAGTAAACCTGGAGGTCAAGGCAGACTGGCAGGACGCGCTCCAAAGGCAGAGCTAAGATAGCTACGAAAGCTAAGATAGCTAAGAGAGCTAAAATAGCCAAGAAAGCTAAGGCAGGGACGCACTCCAAAGGCGTGAGCTGCCACTGATGCGTGCATTGATAACCAAATGCTCAGCAAGTAATACCTCATGGAAGAACACCAGCTCACTGGGTGCCGCTGATGGGGCGTAGGCTATAGGCTATAGCCATTGAAGGATGTATGTCCTGGAGAACAGCTAATCAACTTGCTGAGTTGTCACGTATCAGGTTTTTGTGGGCTGGGCTTCGTCAATGGCCATTGCCACGTACTTGTAACAAAAAATGCAATAAGTCTGGATAGCCTTCAGATGTAGGTCCTTGAATGACTTGCAATGGCTTGGGAATTCTGATGGAAAGGAGATCTACTGCAGTTGGGGATTTAGTGCAGCAAGGTGCAGAAAGGCGCCGGCGTTGCACATCGCAAAGAGATGCATCAACCAGTGCGGCAAACCAATATCCTGGCAATGTGCGAAAGCGTGAAAAAAACATGAAAAAACAACTTTGAAGCTGGACATGCTTTGCATGAAGGCCATTTAAAATGAAAGCAATGCTGCACCTTCCTTCAAAAAATGGCTGGCTATGCCTTGAGGGGGCTGAGAGCCGGACCGGCTTCGGCCGACCCTCCACGTAGAGGGTCATGCAAAATCCTAGCTGTAATGTGCTGACCACCAAGTAGTTGTCCTTGGCTCCAAATGCTCCAGCTGGATCATGATCATGTCATGTTGCTACCCAAAATTCATTTTCGCTTTTCTCAGGACCCGGGCCTTGCCTTGGGTGACTCCACGTGATACTCTTGATACTCTGCTCCACCAAATCCCCTTCATTTCAAACCCTGGGGCACCGAAAGCTGGAAACTTGGGTAAAACATGGTCGAGTCAAAACATGTCAAACCTTTGATCCCTTTCAAGGAACCATCTTCCGCACTGTGAGATGCACCAAGTCCCTCACATCTTCGCCTCAGCATTCAATGATCTTCCTTGCTATCATGCAATGATATCCAGTCGACTTCTCACACCACTGCGACAGTGGCTGATGTGCCAATCAAGTAACGGTAGAGCTCGGCCTTCTTCACCCGCATCTTTTGAGCCTGGTAATCCCGCTTCATCAAAAGCTCCTGACGACCCAGCGACCATCTGCCCATCTGGAAATCCAATGTAAATCACTTGGTATAGTAACATGAGGTTTGAAACTACATGAAACTACCAACTTCCAAGCCAAGACGATGCTGCCGACGCCATCCGACGCCATGTCCTTGTCGAACATGTAGTTCTCCCGGTTGTAGGAGAAAAGTTCTCCACCACTCCATGCTGCAGCAGCGGCGCCCGCAAGCAACTCCATGGCCAAATGCTTTCAAGGGTCTTTTAGCTGTGGAACTTCTGCAAGCTGTGGGCTGCTTTTAGGATCTTTTAGGTACTGTATCTTTGCAGTCCTTTATAATTACTTGCCATAGGCTGCAGGCTGCTGACACCAAGAGCAAGCAGTAAATGGGTTTGAATGAATGGATCGTTGGAAGCTCCTTTGCGGGTCAGGGTCTAACTCGAGACACGGGAGCACATTGGGCTGGGAGTTGTTCAGTAGCCCGAACAGTAAGTAGGTTTCTGCTGAATGCACCAAAGTACAACCATCTTAGACTGAACGAACTATAATTACAGCATTGCACAACTACTGCAGGCTCCAAATCAAACATTTCTTTTCCAAGTAATAAATCATGCACGAGGCTAACAATATTAACTCACAGTTTTCAGTCACGTTTGAGCAAACGCCAAGGGTGCCCCAGCACAGAATGCAAGCCAAAGCGGTCTATCTGCTGCATATTTTCTTGCCAAGGAAAAGGCATAATCCTTTCATGAAAGAAAGGAAATGGAATCATCATTGAAACAGTAGGGACACCCCTTTCCACCTGACACTTGGCCCAAGTCACAACATATGCATATAGGCATATATATATATAATTTGCATGTGCGAATTCAATACAGTTAACTTTGAATCTTTCATTACTTGGTCGATCATCATGGATCCATCTCCAATTAAGTATGAATATGTATACTATATATATATATGTATGTAACAATATCGTAAATGCATTTGATGCTCATCATTGAATCATCCATTGACCCATCTCCAGCCACGTCTTGGGGCCGAGCCTTGCCTCATGGGTTCGAATGGTGATGCACCCGTCGGTGGGGGCCCAGGTGGCGGAGGTCCAGCCACTGGGCGACCGTAGAGGAGATCCTGGAGCCCAAAACTTCTGGTACCATGGCAGGGTCAGAATCAGCTATGCATATGCAAACAATAATATGTGTATATAAATATAAAAATAACTATATCACAATCATTAAAAATATACAATATGCATGTATATTTAATATATGTATAGGTATGTGGGTTTGCAAATGAATAAGCAGCATAACACATGATAGCAAAGCAAAATAGATGAATAAATATATATAAATATTGTTGACATCACAGGCCAGGCGCAACATCACATCTTGTCGGCCCCGTCCTTCAGATCTGGATCCAACTTCTCGGCTTCGGGGGGCGGCTTGGGCTTGGCCTCGATTCTGTATGGGGGAGATCAACTGCGTATACCGTTAGAATCCATATTATCATATTATACATATATCATACAGAAATTATAAAGATACACACACACACATATTTTAATATAACACGTAGACCTACACATATCATATAATACTCCAGGACCATTTGGAGCCATCATATATAGCAAACTTCACACTCCGGACCAATCACGTCGAAAAACCCGGGAAGTCGCCTTGGCATCAACTGGAGGAACCCAAGCGCCAGGACTCCCTGAGAAAGGCGAAGCTCGGGATGGCGAGACTGCTATTGTTGGCCGAATCATGCCAACCTGTGTATATATGTATATATATATACTTATACATATATATATATTTTTATTTTTTATGTTTATACTCTATATACAACACACACATAGACAAAAGATATCTACATATCTCTAGATCCAACAGGTACACACTCATATATATATATAGATATAATATATATTAATATATCATTAATTTAAATTATATAACTTATCCGTATCTATCTGTACCCCCACCCCGGTGAACCTTTTGGTGGCACCCAGCTACCAGGAGTTACCTCTGCGCAACGCAACAGTTCCGTTGCGGGTCGGGTCGGTCGGAAAATCAAACCCATGGCATTAGAAGTTTGAACACCTGGAAATATCTGGAAATACTTGGAAATATCATGATCATATATTCATTAAACGCTATAAAATAAGTATAAAATATCTGGAAATGTCTGGAAATCTGGAAACCATCCTTGGAATCTTTTTATCCTCAATTGAATGACTGTTGACTTTTGACGCATTTCCTTGATGTTGAACGCACATACCAGTATCATCCAGTATCAACTATTTCATACTATTGCGATTATTTCAGGCTACAAGTATGCACTACCAAAAGCCTTCAGGCATGTTTGGAAGAACCCCATGGCAAGTCTCCAAGGTCCGCGTTTATCGGCTCTTGAGCGTCAGAACATGTCAGAACTCAGCTTCACGTTAAACATCCTTAAACCATCTGTATGGTATGAAAAATGGCGAAGAGAACCATGGCCATCATGGCCATCATGGAGAACCACTGGGAAGCCCTGACAAATTGGTTCTGAGGATTCCAAGGAGGCCATGCTGCCTTCGGTTGCCATGAGCCTGGAGGCCTAGCAGCCGGAATGCTCAGGGCTGCCAGGGCTGCCAGGCGGGGTCCATGTGGTGATCAGAAACGGATCTGGCTGACATTTTTTCGCAATGGAAGAATTGGAATACAATATAATATGATCAAGTATGATATGCACACAGGCATGCCAAATACACCTAAGCAGCACACTCACTACATGTAGATGGTGATTTTAGATGTCAGTTGGATCCTAACAAACTGCTTTTGAAAGGCGTCTGGCTTGGCAAAAGGGTCAAACAAAGTCAACTATTGAACTGCTGCTTAAATGGAAGCTATGGCGGTATGAGCACCACATGACACCACAGCAGGTCTAAGTCGCAGGATGTCACAAATGTCTTCCAGGTTGCGCCTGGGCTGTTGCTTCACAATCGCTTCGTCAGAGGAGCACGAGGAGTTCCCCTCATAGTCCTGGCCAAATCTAGAAACTAGTCACATCATGTCACATCTTTGGGATGCAAATTGCATGGCTTGTACTTGGACACGAATGGGCAGAGTAGGTCACAGATGGTCACAGTGTCCGCTGAAATCTGCTGAAGCCACAAATATCAACATGTTTGCCCGTGCTACGAGGACAATCAATACAATTTGATGCGCAGTACCACCATCTTGCTTAGAAGCACTGCGATATGCTACGATCATCTGCGTCTTTCCTGTAAGCAAGCATCGACAATAGTTCAGTCCACTAAAAAAATGGATGACTATGAAATGTAATTGAGTTGGGAACGTGGGCATGACTGTATTTGCCTGCATTTGTTGTCACTAGGGCTCCCAGAAGAAAAAAAATGATCGATTTTTTTTCCTGCTCACATTTGATGTGTTCTTTTCAATGACACCCCCAGCCTCCAAGAAGGGCCAAGAGCCTCCACTGCCAGGCTTAGGTCCTGGAAGTGGGGCCGGGTGATAAACCATGACAAACCCCGGGGATGCCCCCAAGAAACAAATATACAAGAATACAGTACACGCACGAATACAATGTACACACAATTACACACACACACACGCATATATATATATATACACATGCATACGTACATACATACACGTATCGACATCACATCTGGAGTTAGGCATGTAGACCATTGCGGGCCGAATGTATATCCATCTCATACAGCAAGGGTCCAGCAAGTGGTGAATTTCACCTACATTGCATAGTTCAAGCATTCAAATTTCATCCAGAGTCATCATTGCGCAGAACCGTAGTGATATAGATTCATACAGTTGTTTGCCTGGTAGATGAGGTCCCTCCGCTGCCAAATAAATCCAAATAAGCTACATGAAGGCCAGCTGACAGCAGCTGTCCTGAAGCCGGTTCCCTTTGCCGCCTCCTGCTGATGGTCATTGGTGCGGAAGAATGTTACAAGAACTGTTTTTGAACGGATCTGCTTGAGGAACACGCACCCTTTCTATTCCTTTCTTACGATTCGGCAATGACAGAAATCAAACCGTGTAAAAAAGGTCCAGGAGCGTGATCTGGCAACAAATTTGCCTCTTGAGCTGTGGGACCACAGGACAACAATGATGATTGAGGCATGCAAAATCCACACATCAGATTGGGTGCTTCAGCACCACTTTGTGCAACTGGGGACGTCATATATCTTTCAAGCAACACGGAAAGCACCCCTGCAGGATGAGTCTATGAGTGATAAAAACCCAAACAATTTGCACGAGATGAGCTTCACCTAACCTTTCATTTGCACGTGCCAGTAAATTAGCATAAAATTCTAATATAATTGGCGTCCGAGTCACGTCACGACCTTCCAGTCAAGCCAGGTTTATCACATCTACCACAACAACTAAATCATTGCATGCATGGCTGTCTCGCTTGCCTTTCAGATCCGTTTTTGGCAGTGGAAGTCGGCGCCGCCTCACCACTGCGCAACAAGGGAAGTGCCATTCCCACCTGGATCCAACATGAAGTGCTTCATCTATCTTCATCTTACTTCCCTCCCAAGAGGGATGAAGAATGATGAAATTTGGAAGGACACTTCCAAAGCCCAAGAAGTTGGATGAGTGCCATGAGCCCTCTGGACAGCTGGGCTATCAGGCTTTGGCGCTTTCCTCCCCATCGTCAGCCTCAAAGCGACCTTATTATAGATATTATAGGAGAAAAAAGTGGAGTCGTCGCAATGGCCACAGAACTTGATCAACATCAACATCATCAAACATTTATTAAAACACATCGAACAAGTCGGACACTCCAAGCCAAGGATTCAAAGGTACAGTAGGGTCCATGTTACACCTAGCACCCGTCCTATTTGCTTCACAATTCCCCTCGGTGTCTCGGAGCCAAACTGAGGTCAATCTCGGGTGTCACGCCATACTTGCGACCTTTGAAACAACTGGGAAACAGCTGAGGTGGTCATCCACCCGAAATCAACAGCAAAACATCATGAATGAAATGAAAATTGCAAATTCAACAATGATTCTGCTTTGAAACACGGCTGTCAAGGGTCGTCACATGCCGCCTATGATGGCCTGTGTATTCGGTCTAGGCTGCACAATGCAAGATAATCTTCAGTACCCACTACACCCGTGTCTTGAACACCTGCGTCCAAATATATAGTCTATGTAATAATTATATAACCCCCGAATCAGGTTCCAGCATGCTTTTCGGTACACCTGTGACGGCGCGTTCCAGCAACGCGAGAATT